CACACACACACACACACACACACACACACACACACACACACACACACACACACACACACACACACTTCTTGCCTTGTTCGAACTGTCTTTTCGTCCCCTTATTCGATGTGTTTGATCTATGATACTACTTCAACAATTCAACTCTTTTACTGTTGTATCCATCGCAACCCTTAGTGAACGGCCGATCAGTTGGGAGCTGTCCCACAAAACTCGTACGCTTGCAGCTTTCTAGCATGCAGACTTTTGCAATACAGAGTTTCCTAAATGAATTTGAGTGCAATTACCGGCCCACCTGGATGCATCTGACTGCAATCACGTCCAGAGCTCAGTCGAAAAACTCCTAGTGTGAGTTTTGCCCAGACTCAAAACTTCAACACGAAAGCAAGAAGAAAGAAACCGAAACATGGCATCACTGATAGCCAAGCAAATGAGATACTGCTCAAATACGTCATCACTGCTAGGCAAGCAAACAATAACATGGGCCTTGCTCCACTACTCACCAAATGTACAAAATAAGAATGAATCTTCCACTAGGACATGGAAAGATACACCACCCTATTTTTTGTCTTTCGTCCATGTACACATTTGGTATCTATCTGCCTTCGACCATACAGAAGGAAGTGTGACCGTGTTCTATGTTGTATTCAATTTTGACTTGCCGGGGGAATAGGAACCGGACTGACGCTCCCCAGAATGGATATGGAGCCAGGACTATAAGGACCTGTTCATTTAAAAAAAAAAACACAAACAAACAAACAAACAAACAAACAAACAACTTATCTACACAATAACATAGCGGAACGGGGCCCTATGCACTGCAGAACTGAAAGGAAACCAAACAAAACGGAACGACGCCGAACGAAACAACAGAAAAACAAAAACAGTGGCATGTCTAGTGCAACCAAAATGACGCAAGACGATACAAAACAGAATGGAACGAAACCAAAACGAAACAAAGAAAAAAACAAAAACGAGCGAAAGAAAAGAAAAAGGCACACGCAAACAAACCCTCAAAGCAAAACCAACACACACATACCTTCAAAGCTGCAGTGAATCTCCCCAGTTGCTGATAAGCATAAGCTAGGGCCTGGGCAAGAACCCCAAAGCAAGCGTTCACAAACAAATAGTAGTTTATTACGCATGGCATACTACGGCTTATTTCAACGACTTACAAAATGATTTTGGTAGTCTGGGTTGGGGGAAAAAAAAAAGAAGGGAAAAATGCCACAACCTCTCACAACTTCTCAAAAACAATCCCGATGCTTACAATGGAAAAAGGGAAACCACGATCGCCATGTAACTTGATGTAAGTGCAAAAAAAAAAAAAAAAAAAAAAAAAAAATCCACAAACTACCTTGAGATTTCAGGAGGTACTCTCTCAGGTCTCCTTCATAAAGGCCGACGCCTCCACCTTCTGAACGGATCTTAGAGTGTACTCACACCAGGCCATCAAAATCACAAAATTACACAACGAGCGGCCAGATCGAGTCTTTCGATTACAAGGACTCAATCTGACCACTCATTTTGCGATTTTGCGATTTTGAGGGCCTAGTGTGAGTATGCCCTTACTATCTCAGACTCATGGCAGAAAAGCTGAGAAAACACAAGAATTGTCAGGAGACTTCATTATTAAAAAAAAAAGAAAAAAGAAATGGAATGATCCCTGGGAAAGGATGACAGGCATATATTGAGAAACAGTCCAAACTTTGTGACGAAGTGGGAGCGCCTGGAGGAGCTCGGGCGGGCCTGGGGGGGTCCTCTCAGCAAACCCAGGCGACACAAAAACCCTGCACGATTTTTGTTTTTTGTTTTGTTTTGACGGAGGCGTCTTGCTGCGGTACCCCTAAAAGAAGTTAATTTGGGAAGGGGGCGGGTGGGTGGGGGACACAGCGGGGGCGGGGGAATGTCTTGGGGTTTTTTAAGGGGTCTGACCAGGTGTGTAGCGACTGTTTTCCTGGTATGTCAGAAGTTTACTGCAGGTGTGTAAGAAGAAGAAGAAGAAAGAAGAAGACTGAGAAGCAGGAGGACAAAACCGAACAAAAACAGGAAGGCAACATTTCTTGAGAAAAAGCACATGTCCGCATTGCTCCACAATCGATTACAAAAGTCTCTCTCTCTCTCTCTCTCTCTCTCTCTCTCTCTCTCTCTCTCTCTCTCTCT